TAAATCGATTTCTCGCGACGTGTTACCCCTATATCCGATAGAAAATTGACGAGTTTCGATGAAAAATTTCTGCTTAAAAGTTGGTGTGTGTGATAGGTGCCGTAAGACTTGCTGCGAGTTGTGTATCCGATGGGACACGGGTCTTGCGGCAATAGGCCGGTCAATATGTCGTTCTATAATCGTGTAAAAGGAGAGTGTGCTAACATGACCATTGTTTATTCAGCTAACTTCTGTGGCGTTGTGTTGTCTGTTCGGTCGCTCAAGGCTTGAGAACACATTTGCAACGAGTCAAGGAAGATGAATTGACAGACGGAATGCGGCTCTCGAAGTGCTGTCGCGACCAACCGCGAATGCCCATACTGCTGTTTGAACATGCCGGAGTGCGATGCGGCTTACAGCTAGGCCCACGTATCGGCGACTTCATCATTTAGTATACGCACTGGTAAGCGAAACCCATCGAATCAATTCTGTAATTTTAATACAGTAACGACTATAGGATACTACTATATAGTTAAATCAGATAGACGAACATACTTGAAACCATTATAGAAGAAGGCACGATCGATTACTGGGGATAGGGTTAAGTAGTATAGTGGTATGTTATTTGTAGCACGAATGTACATGCCAAGCGACACTCACTAAAGAGCAGCGAAGCTAATCTAACATAGGTCCCGACAGGAGATTACTCTCAGAGACTGTCTGAGATCATCAATGATAGTGTTGGTGTGATATTCACAATCACAATTGAATAAAGTTGACGTGGAACGAGGGTTGATTCGTGATTCTGTGAGCATATTACAACATTCTAATGCTAGTACTAACATTGCACCTTATCATATCCAGTTGTACAGCCCGAGTTGTAATACTGGTCCACAGGCGTCGTCTGGCCACCAATTACATACCCCGATGAACATGAAGTTCCAAATTGCCCACAAGATTGGCAGTTCTCACCCCAGAACCAACCCCAGGCAACTAACGGCTCAAACCAAACCTGGACTACGCTGTTCTTTGATACTGAACATTGCACATGAGTAGCTTTGGACCAACTATCCGTGATAGTCAGGCCAACAGTAGCCCCTAGTACGTCTTTGATAACGTTCCACTCCAAAGAGATTGACTCTGAGATTGAGAAGATGAAGGAAACGTCTATCGTTAAAGAACCTCCAGACTCTGAGTCCCCTGTATAAAGGCAACGAGGATTGGACTCAGCTGGCCGCCAGTTGGTATACCAATGTCCACTTTGAGGAACCCAGACATGTTGGTAACTATGGCAAAATGGGCCGTCTCCTCGCTTGGAAAGAGGTGATACAGATGCCATGCTGATGAATCTCTTCGTATCCTGAACGTAGATGGTGTGGTTTTTTCCTGCGTTGTTTGCAAAGTACATGTCAAGGCCGGTAGAATAAATGATTTGATCAGCCGGAAAATTCGCCAATATGTTGATGTGTGCATCTTCCATAGTGCTGTTTAGTTTAGGCAAAGACGGATTTGCAGTCATGTTGCGTGGCTGCACAATGGGCCTGTAGTCCACCACAGAAGCGGTGCAGGCGCCAAAGAAGAGAGCGAAACCTTTCAGATACATCGTGATAAATCTTCTTTTTTCTGTTTACTAATTGTTAGACTTGAAATGCTCAATAGAAACTTAGCATGTTATTTCGTTGCTTTTGCAGAGAGCACTTACAATTGCCTTGTAAATTTTCCTTGTTCTGAGCTCTAGTTCATATCAGTGAGAGATAGGCTGGTTTACATATTCAGACGTCCACTGACAAATAAACTTAATTTAGCATCTCTAGCTCAGTGTCTTGCTATGTAACAATGATACCAGTAACCTTGAATCACCGTCTGAGTCCGCCCGCTGACTTACACTAATCACTTCATGAAGCAACAGATTATTAGCGAAATTGTACACAATAGACCAGGTAAGCACTAGATATAGATTTTTTTGCTGGCGCTACGCTAACAAAACGGAGCTCCAGCTGGTGGCGCCAAAACGACGTTATACCGAAAATAACGCCATTTGTATCTCCGTTTTTATCACGGTAGTCTGAAATAGAGGGTAACACTCAGGGATCCATTAGGTACCTCTCGCGCTGAGCAGTCCTAGTTACCCATATAGAGTATGTTAATCTTGTCTAAGATTAAGGATATCTCTCTATTATTATTATTATTATTATTCTAGTTTAACGTCCTGTGTCAGCCGGTGGGCTATATAAGACGTGTAGGCTAG